TATATTTTAATACATTTTCAAATAAAAAATACTTTAAAAAATAACAACTACACCACCCTCAAACATTCTAATCAAAATATATCTGTATTTTTTTTTTGGAACAATGAACAAAAATGGAACTCATGCTTTATGTAGTTAAAAATCAAATCAGTGAAACATCACTTCTTTTACAATTTATTTGGTTTTAAGAAACTAAAACAGAGTTGAAAATTGAACTGCTTTAATGAAATAATTAAACTAGAGTGTATTTGTTTTTCCTTTAAAAAATGTTTTTAAAAACTTTTTTTCTTTAAATTATTTTTTTATAAGTTTAAATTATTTTGATATGATAAACTCAAAAATAAATTAAATACAAAAAAAATATTTTAATATTTTTTTAAATCTATTAGATTCTCAAACACTAACTAAATCATCCAAAACGCGTTGGATGAGCACTACTCCGTTCAGCAACCTGGCGAGGCACTTGTGCACAATTTTCATCTTGCCGAAGCAAATAGAGCTTATGCGACTAAAACAAGCATGTGAATCCAATATGGAGATTTCATATTATTTCTTGTAAAACCTACAATTGTGCAGCCATTCCAGCAAAAGTTATATGCATCACAACTTCTAAATCATTCACAGCATCCCCTTATGATCATGGGTGAGGCTCCACATATTCTTATTGATACATACTTCCCTTTCAACTAACAGTTTGGGTGAGTAGGGAGGACTAGCCTACAAAGTCACTCGAGCAGCTCGGAATAATTCCTTCGTTCTTCCATAGTAGATTGGCTTACTGCCAGTAAAGGTGATAAAGTTCCAGCCAAAAGCTGATCCTCCAACAATATGCGTCCCTTGATTCTCACTGTGCTCAGCTTGCTGCTTTTCAGATGGTTTTGCAAAAACCTGGCCTGGCTGGGACTGATCTGCTGTCTCTTGGAGCTGCTCCTGGGGCTTTAGTCCCACCCCACTTTCACTGGAATTTGGTGTAATTTTCCACTTGGTTATAGTGGCCTTTTCTGCTGTCATCTGCTTGTATAATTCCATAAGCAACTTCAGCTCTGCGAAGCACAAGTTACATGGTCAAAAGCATGTCTTATGAGCCAACATGCAAATTGCTACATCTACCATCAAAGAGCGATCTGGATTATTGCAAATGATTAATCTAATTGTTTTCTGACTAGCACACAAGAGACGCTAAATGTCCTAATAGGATCAAAACCTTACCAATTTTCCATCAAATCATGCTAAAATGACTCTTTCCATAAGAAATGCAGAGAAGCTAAAGAGAGAGTTTCAGATAGAAAAGACTGCAAATGTTGTAATAGCAAAGCATCAGTGAACAGGACAGACTTAAATACAGCATGTACATTCCAAGTCTTATACAGCTATTAGCAATCATTCCACATGAGGTAAATTGATGAATGAAAACAAGATCACATTTTCATTCAACTATTGTACAAGGTCAACGATGCATACATTCGATGATACAAAAGTGCAAATTGACGAACTTACTTTCTTGAAGTTCCTCAGCTCCCTTGCAACTCCGGAAGTCCACTGTTCCAAGCATCTTCAACAAAACAGAAGAAGTTTAATCCCATCCCATCTTAACATCAACATTTCATGCATAATTAACCTAATGATCGATGCACTAACAAATGGAGACATGTAGTCACCAACTGCAATTCACTGTAACTCTCCAAATGATACAAAGAAACCATTCACTGGTGTATTCTGTGTCACTTAACACTCTCAGACAAGGTTTTCGTAATCTCAAACAAAATTAATAGAACAGGACTCAAAATCTGACCAAGCAGGCAAATATAAGGAATTATTTCAAGTACACTCCACCGAGGCCTTGCAAGCAGTGAAAATTATATTTCAAGGTCATACTTCAACAGTAAATTATGAAATTTTATGAGAATGACAAATTAAAAACACAATGGAACTTAAAAATGAAAAGCATGATCATCCCACGAACCAAAATTACCAAAAAGAAAAGTTTAATAACAAAAGAACAAAATGAATTCAAGCCTAAATTAAAACCCAAGACTTAAAATTTAACGATGGGTGTCTAAAAATGTACCTCAAGAACATGGGGTCTGATAACTTTGACAACAGCACGCATCTTGAAGTAGCTGCATTCTTGAACTGGATCACAATTGTCAAGAGGTCTCTTCTTGCTTTCAGAAGGGACAGAAGGAGGTGGTGGTCGTGGTGGTGGTATTGGCGCTGCTGGAGGCGGTGGCGGTGCTGGTGCTGATGGAAGCGGTGGCGGTGCTGGCGCTGGTGCTGGTGCTGCTGGAGGCGGTGCTGGCGCTGGTGCTGCTGGAGGCGGTGCTGGTGCTGGTGCTGGTGCTGCTGGCGGTGCTGGCGCTGGTGTAGGTGCTGGTTCGACTGGAGGGTCAGATGGGGCAGTGATAGGTGGGTCTGGGTTTGGGTTTGGGTTCGGATCTGTGTTTTGAACGGGTGGGTTTTGGGGGATTAGTGGGTCCTGGTCATGGTCATGGACTGGTTGTGGTTCTTCCATTGATTTGATGCAGTGTGTTCTGCGAGTTGATTTTGGAATGAATTCTGAGTTTGAACTAATAAAGATTGGATGATTGCTTTGCTGACTACTGAACTAACAGAGAGAAATGTTTGGTTGTAGGTTTTGTCTGATAAGCCAAGACATGGATGAGAGACACTGACACGTTTACAATGAATTATTCAATAAAAAAGAGTATTAAATTATTTTTAATTTTTTAAAATATACTTAATTGAGCTCAATTGATTATATTGATTTTTCCTCATGTGTGTTTGGAAATAGTGGGTTTAGCCACAAAAGAAAATGACTTATCCCTTTTCTTCTTCAGTTATATTGGAAAAGGCCAGTTATAAATCAAACTAAAACCAAAGGTTAAATGACTATTTAGAAAACTCTTAATTAATTCAATTCAAGAGTTTTTATGAGTTTTTATATTTGAAATATTTTTTAATGTTAAAAAATTAAGTTCCAAATGGACTGTTGTAAAAACAAATTAGAGATAAACTTCTCTAATTTACAATTTCAAAATAGAAAAAATTAATACTAAATTTAATATTTTTAAAATATTTATCTAATTCTCTTAAAAAAATATTTGAAGAAATAAGATGAAGGTATAGAAAATTGAATTCAATCCAAATCAAATATTATAATTGAATTTAATTACAATAAAAAATTAATTCCAAACAAAACCTCACGTTGCGCATCACTATCATTTTTATGTAATAGTTAGCTCGCAGATCTTTAGGAACATGCTGAGTTTTTCGGATTTTGTCTAATATTAAAGGCACGTAATCATAATTTAACTGATAGTTTTATAGATTAAAAACTCAAGAGTTTTGTTTCTAGTTCATACGAAATTTAAACTTGGTATGTAATGGTTACACTGTATAAGGCCTGGATCAACCTGATGCCACAACAAATTACCGCAGAAAACAGAAAAGGGTGAATCAAGCATCAGACCAGTAAATATCCATTTCTCCCCAGTCGCTTTCAGGCACTCCCAATGCTTTCCAAACTGCTTTCGAGGCATCAACGATGTTTTTGGCACACGGAGGCTGGTAATCGTGGTCAGAATCACATCCCATTGTAGAGTCGCACTCATCCACTACCATGGCCTTGACACTCTTTCCATTCCCATGGATATTTATGGAGTTTAAGCATCTATCCCCGTTGTTATACCATCCCGTTGAAAGCGCCACCACAGGTGTGTCATCCGAGTGGTATTGGTTGTCGCATTCCGATGGCGCGCCACCATCTCCACCCTTCTGAAAGCTGTTCAATGTCAAGGTTGCTTTTGTGCTGCTGGTCACTCGCGGTGAACACTTGAAAATGGGGTAAAGCTTGCCATCTGCACAACAATCAGAGTCATTCTCTTGATTGCATTGGTTTGGAGGAGGCTTTCTCCCTTTTATGCTCCCACTGGGCTTGCAAATCTGAGCCTGAATTGTTAAACAAAATGTAACAAGAAAAAGAAAGCAGAAAAGGAGAGCAGTTGAACAAACTTGATTCTTCATCTTCTGTTTGCTCCTTTTGTTCAGCGATGATTTGGTCTGAAGAGTTTGAATCTCTGCCAATCCTTATATAACGATAAATTTGGACAATTTAGTAGCTTTTTATGAAATGTGATACGGCCAGAATGCCCTTTTTATCACGGCATACATACGAGCCATAATTTTGTATCTATCGTTGATTCCTTTGTGTAGAGAGCCCAATACAGTGACAATATAGCTTGTGCGGAACGCAGAAACAGAAGATTGTTAGCTTGTACAATGTGTCTTACAGTGAGTTTCTGTTCCTCTTCTTTTCAAAATCAGATCAGGCCATTACAATGGAAGCAAAATCCATCCGCTTGACATAGCTTTGTCGCATTCCCGAAGCTGCTGGAGATAGGACAAGAGCTCTGAGCGCTGAAACAGAAATGCATCTGAATTTAACAAATTTAGAGTAGAGATGTTCTCCATTGACAAATTTAGCCATCTATAAATGAAATCGTAACCGCAGTGAACAAAGATGATAGTACTTCACAATTCGGGAATGGTCGCAGAGTTTGGATGGTAACATGTTTCCTAGCGTGCTCAAGTTTTTGGTGTTCATCTAAAACTAGATGTTAACCTGGTATGCTAGATCCCGGCCCGGGCTAGATATAAAAGAAAAGTCAATTTAGAATTTGGCATGCGAAATCTAGTTTGATTTTTTTTAATTTTAAATTAAAATGTTCAATACATGCGAAATCTACTTTGATTTTTTTTAATTTTTTTAATTTTAAATTAAAATGTTCAATTTGAACTTGTAACCTAGATCAGGTCACCGGCGTGTCGGTTTTAATACAAGACACCCTTGTAAAAAAAAATGATTAACTAGCAAGCCCTCTTACTTCCCCAGTCGAAAATAAAAGGCCCAATTCGAAAAGCAAAAATGGGCTGGCTTCTACTGTAATTGGGCCGATTTGAGCCTTCATGAAAACATCCTACAAAGTGCAGGCGCAATGTTTTGCGCTCTCGTCTTGAAAAGCGAAAACAAAAACAAAACAAAATCCAGGCAGGCAGGTACTCTTTCATTTAATTTATGAAGTTCTTTGTTCGGTAAGAAAATCTAAAATCAAAGCAGCAAGTTGTAATACACGTATGATATACAGGGCGATGAATCCTCGAACAGACAAGATAGTGAGGAGGACAACAATGGTAGCCACTGCTGTTGCTTCTTATTTCCTCTTAACTGCTGACTATGGTCCTCAACCCAATGCTGTTGAACCCGTAAGTCACTACTTTTTTTTTATTCCTTTTCGTTTCTTGTTTTTTTTTTTTTGTCGTTTCTTGATAAGAAATGGTTAATTCTTTCTTGATTTATCATCAGTAACCAAATGTTTGATAAGGGATCGTGGAGGGTTTATTTGGGGATTTAATTCGTGGGTTCTTTGGGGTTTTAAATTTTGAAACTTTTCATGGAAATTTCTTCATGTTTTTTATCATAAAACTGACGATTGTATTAAATCCTTAGCTTTTTTGTTTTTTTTTTCTTTACCCCCATCCTTAATTTTACATGCTATAAGAGCTAGAGTCTTAGGTAAATTTTGCACACCTCCCCCACAGAGATCATCCCAATGAAAATGATTATGGTTGGCTACAACGAGATGTGTAGTCTTTCAATATTATGACTAGAGTCTTAATCCAAAATCTTACACACCTCCCCCATAGAGATATCCTAATTCAAAACAATTTAGTCTTTCTAAATATCGTCCGAGAGTGAATGTCGAGAACTCCCAACTTCCATATCATAGTTGAGAGAGTTTCTTTTCCAAATGGCTTGGTGAGGGCATTCGCAATCATGTTTGATGAAGGGACATGTTTGGTTACAACTGAACCGTCTTGTACGTTGTCGTGAATTAAATGACAATCCTTTCCAACACTCCCCCTCAAGTTGGTGTGTGGATATCTTCTATGCCCAACTTATTAAGTGAGTTGAAGAACTCAAGTACCAAAACCTAATATAATCAAACATAGGCAGCAACAACAGCAGTCTAAAACCTGCAGCAACAACTGGTTCTAACTAAAACTGGATAGCAATAATCCAGGGAGAAGTCGCTGAAATAAGGCAGCAACAATAGCAGCCAAAAAAAAACACATGAAAATTTGGCATCAATCTGCAGTCAAAAACTATAGCAAAATGAACATTAGGAGTAACATTAGGAGTAAGAATTATGAGTCTTGTCGTGTAATATACTTTGGGGATATGGCATTATGAGTCTGAATTGTGAGTTTTGCACTGTTGTTTCTTTATCTCGTGCTTGTGATAAGGTAGCAAGCTTTTGCTCAAGGTAATTTTCATGTGATGTCAACTATCTGCCTGCCTTATTATAGTGGTTTTTTTTTCTTGAATGTTCTTCTTACATTTTTGGTGTTTTTTACTATTGATATCCTTATGCAATGGCAGATCAAAAGGGCCATATTATCAGCACAAAGTTCTGTGAAAGAGTTCATCTTTGGATCAGGAAAAGAGCCCTGAGTTAGTCAAATGGAGAAGGTGAGCTCTAGCAGTGCTAAAGAGCATTAACAAGGATACAGGGACACAATTTTGCATGGCACCATGATGGTTCTAGGCTAAGTTTCTTATGGCCATTGTCAAATAGAGGTATCATGAGACCAAGCTCCTTTTTAGCTTTGCTAGAAACTTTCTTTATATCTGTACAGTTTTTGCCAAACTCAGTACTTAGGATGCTTTCTGTAGCCACATAATTTAAGTGGACGCTGATGTCCATCTTTTGCCTTTTCACTCTTTCTTAAGACACGCTATTCTCCCTGCTTGGATGGTTGAAATTTAGATTTGGAATATCATTGTGGCTGACTACGTAAAAGTGGCCAAAAGTTTTTGGATAATCTAGAGGTTGGTCCTCATGGTCATCTGGTGACCAATTTTTTTGATATCGGATTAAAGGCAGAAAAATAGAGCATTTACTCGGCTGTTCAGTGTTCATGCCTGGGAACCACCACTCGCTTGATGGTGAACCTGGCTATCCATAATATGGATGGTCAGTGATTATCAATACAAGATTGCCTTTGTCGTTACCCCAGACTCTTTTCCCGGGAGGGACTGGAACCAGAGTCCCTGGCTTGTGTTCTCGTTTTGTTCTCTCCTAACCAAAATGATGATGGCTCGTTGGTGGCGGTGTTTTTTTTTTTTTTTTCCCTCGTTTTCTTCTTTTATCTGGTACACTTTCGGAGCACATACGAGAAGAGAGTGGTGAGAGCACAAAAGGCAAGGAAAGTAGATATTGTGGTATAAAACTTGAAAATCTGAAGATATAATTAATCTCAAACAAGCCAAGCCATTGGTACTACCGCTGGTGTTACGAAAATTATGCAAAACTGGAAGGCATGTTGTTCATCTCCGGTGCCAGAAAACCAAAACTGGAATGAATCCTTGTGACATTCTAATAATGCTCACCGAACAAGACATAAAAATCTACAATCTTCACTGGTGAATGTAGAAAGTGTGCTCTGTAGGGGCCATATGAATGCCATAGGCTCTCAGTTAATGGACTGAACAGCCTGGGTTACTTGGTCCGAAAAATCCATTTCTCCCTAGATGAGAGGAAAAAAGTTCAGATTTCAATTTATCTTAATAGATAAAAAAAAAAGGAAAAAGAAAACCCTTTAAACTAATTTTATTTTGTTGGCTTTTAAGATTATTTTGGTTTTTTTACTCTGTGTTTTATTATTATTATTATTTATTTTTATCTAGTCAAATATCAAATTGACTCTTGATATAAAAAAGTTATTCGAGGTTTTTTATTTTTTTGCTTCTAAGAATATTTTGGTTTTTTCAATGTGTGTTTTATTTTGTATTTTTATTTTTATTTTATCTAGTTAAATACCAAATTAACTTTCATTTGAGATGATAATTATATAAAAAAAATAATTAAAAAAATATAAAATTTCCTTTTAACTCTAATTTTAAATGTTTTTATTTCAGTGCTATTTTGATTGTTTAACTGTTCAATTGAGATTGAAAAAAACTTAATTTTTCCCTTATAATTTGCTAATGATTAATGGATTTGATAAAAATATTTTAATGTCATTAATGTTGATTAAAACCATGAAAATATTACTCCAATAAAAAAATGTTTTTCCTCATAAGTAAAAATACCTTTTATTCATAAAGAAGTGGGAATTATTTAATAGGAAGAAGGTAAAAAAACAACTAATTTACCATCTTGCTGATGTTTCAAGTTTCAACACAATTCGGCCCCGAGGAGAAACAAAACCATGCATGCCATGCTCAAGCATTCCCTGAGGGAATTATTTAATAAGAAGAAGGGGAAAAAACACCTAATTTACCATGCATGCCATGCTCAAGCATTCCCTGTGCATCATGCAAGCAGACGGCTTCATCGTACGATGAATGGCAGGGTTACAAATATTCTTTACTTATTTCTGACATTTGTGGGGATTGGAGAAGAAAAATAAATAAATATATATATATATATATATAGCAAGGAGCAAAATTGAAACTTCTTCAAAGGTAGGGAGTAGTTTGGAAAATATAAAACTATTGGAACAGAAGTTGAATATTGTTAGATCTACAGGGGTAAAAACGAAGTTTACCCTTTAAGTTTTTAACCAATTAGAAATTTGAACATGTGTAAAATCCTCCTTCACAAAAAACGGTTCCAACAACCCATCCTCTTCTGCCTTTTAACTTCACACTTAATGCTCTCACTTAGAAGTCCATTGAACATGTCCATCTCCCCACTTTTCCTCTCTCATTAAACCCTAACGCTCACCAATGTCACAACCCTCAAACCCTCTCAAACCGCCACTCACCAATATCTCGCTTTCTTCCAGATTTACCCCCAAAACTCCCCTCAAACTACCCCTAACTACCTGCCCCTCCAAACCCCTGAAGGCCGGCACTCCTTCCTTCAAGACCCTTTCCTCTAACTCCCAAAACCCGCCAAAAAAACCCTCTAAAGCTATAACCATAACCTCTCTTTTACGAGCTATCCCTGAGTGGGCTGATAGAGTACAAGAGAGAGGGATGCAAAAAAAGAGATCTTTGTACAACCATGAAAAATGGGCTGAACATCGAAGTTCTTTTCGCCACATAAGGCATTTACTTTCAAGTTTATCTTCGCGGGTGGTTTTATCATTGGTCCCTCCAGTTATTGCCTTTACTTCGGTTGCTGTGGTTATAGCAAGTTATAATTCTGCTGTGGAAATGCATTTCTTGCCAGGTTTTTTCCCTGTTTTAAGAACCTCTTCACTGCCTTATCAGTTGACAGCTCCTGCATTAGCACTGTTGTTGGTGTTTAGGACTGAAGCATCTTATTCGAGGTTTGAAGATGGGAAGACGGCCTGGACTAAGGTGATTTCTGGGACTAATGATTTTGCTAGGCAGGTTATTTCTGGGGTTGATGGTTCCAGTAACTCTGCCCTTAAAAGTGAGCTCTTGCGGTATATTATGGCATTCCCCATAGCACTTAAGGTCAGCTTCTTACTCTTGGTCTCCCCCCCGCGGTCTTAATAGATGAATGAAAAGTTGAAGCAATCTAATCTTAAGAACGTCCATGATTATGATTTAATGTTTAGGGCCATTCACTATAGTTACATTATACATGTTAGAATTTCAAATTACCGCGAACGGGAAGTTTTCTCATGATGTTCACAATATTTTATTTGAATAAAGTTGGTGAAATGGTGTAATTTGTTTCTGAAATTCAAAACAGTTCGATCATGACATATTGTTATTTGCAGTGCCATGTTACTTACGGTTCAAATATTGGCCAAGACCTCCAAAATCTGCTTGAAGCAGGTGATCTAGCAATAGTTCTCAAATCTCGGCATCGGCCTCGCTGCATTATTGAGTTCATTTCTCAATGCCTTCAATTGCTGAACGTAGATGAATCAAAAAGAAATTTACTGGTACTTGTCCTCTTTGATAAATTGATACCTTGATTTTTATTTTGTACTTTTTAATCTATCTGGAGTAATTTCCACAAGCTGTCCTGGAGCTATCTCTGTTATATTTGAAGTTTTCTTTTCTTTATCGCCACATGATATAATACAGTTGGTTAAATTTGAAATGGGAAAATTGCTGAAAATTAATCAGGTTTAAACTGGTTTCTTTATTTTCCAAAATTTGTATCCCCCAAGCTTTTACTCAATTTCCCATCATAATTAACTTACCATTCTTCAATCAGTTGTATCTTCATAATGGTGCAGGAGTCCAAAATTTCTTGTTTCCATGAAGGAATTGGTGTATGTGAACAACTCATGGGCATCCCCATTCCACTCTCATACACTCGCCTAACATCAAGATTTCTGGTCCTCTGGCATTTGACTCTTCCTATTATACTTTGGGATGATTGCCACTGGATTGTAGTCCCTTCCACTTTTATCAGTGCTGCTTCCTTGTTCTGCATAGAAGAAGTATGCTTCTCTTTCTTTATTATGAATTTTATATGTGATTCTTGCTGTATTATGCATCTAACTAGTAGGCACTAAACAATGGACTAGTTGCCACCCACAAAACCCACACAAAGCCTTTTCCCTTCAAGTTTGAAAGGAATACCGCTTGACTTAAAACTTAAAATGTTTTCACACACTAGTTAACTTCCACGGCTCTTGCATTTTGATGATTTATGAGTCAATTATTCGATATTTCTAGATCAGATTTTCTTCTGCTTTCAATGGGAAGTGAAAACATGCCTTTCTTAACATGCAAAATAATGTTGGTTTTTGGCATAAAGGAGTGGAGTTACCACAATGAAGATGAGGGATCATGTCAATATTATTACACATGAAGAAGAACAAACAACAATGAAGTGGTGTCCAACATATGGTTCAAAAGTTTGTATATGCCAAAATAGACTCTCCAAGCTTAAGCTTTTGACCGTTTTAGATGAACAAAGGGGAGTGAAGTTCTCGCACCTGCTTTCCTCTTTTTTGATTAGCAATTAGTTGTATGTCTTAGTGATTGTGTGCATTGCACATGTTTCATATTCGATTACATGTGCCCAATAGTTCCTAACACATTGTTGGAGAGATGTCAAATAACCTGCTTTTTCCAACTTGTGCAAATTTCAACAGCTTTAGATCATTTTCTGTTTATTCCTTATTTTATAAGTTTGTAACTTAGACTCATTATTTACACAGGTTGGTGTTCTTATTGAGGAGCCATTTCCAATGTTAGCCCTTGATGAGCTATGCAATGTAGTTCAGAACAACATTTGGGAAGCAATTGCAACTGAAAAGGAGATTCAAGCGCGCCTTGTTGCGAAAAGAAAGAGCCATTCCTGTGAGCACTCAACAAACGGTTGGCCATCTCCTAAGCAGAAGGAATAGTGTAAAGAATATTCTCAAATTTGATCAAGGAACAAGACAGTGAACTTCCAAGATCTTACGGAGCCTGCCCCTTCCCCTTGTTATGTAAATCTCGTATCATAATTGAGCTCCAGCAGTAAAATATACACGTAGGATGCATTTCCCCCCTCAAGGAATCTCATAGCAAGTATATGTTCAGTATATAGATCAATGTTGCAGTAAATACGCCCGTTGTATATTCAATAAGCGTTTGTAGTTTCTTCTAAATGATCTGACTTGAAAGAAACTAACTGGAATTACCAATAGCACTTGCATAAATGGCAGTTGTGACCCAGAAAGCATCAAATAGAGGCACCTAGTTGTTGACCGCCCACAGATGGTTCCTGGGAATCTGTTTTTAGAGAACTGAGATGTAAACGTGGAAATAAGTGGTATCGTTTGAGAACGTACAGGGTTCAGTATCCTGTTTCGCTGTTCATGCTTGCTCTATCTTCTTTTAATCTTTTACCCCTCGATGCTGTATTCAACAGGTTCCCTTGGCGAAGAGATCTC